ACAGAAGGCTGAGAGTGGAAAAGTTGGATAATGGGGGAAGCATGGGTAAAAGGAAGACAGATTAGAGGTTATGTGTATGGGCAAAAAGGGTGCTTGGTACCAAGAAAATGGGGGGGGGGGTGTTAAAGGGTTATTTGCATTCAGATTTATCCTTGTGAGTTAACATCTTGGTAATGGTGGAGCCAAAAGGCATTGGTAAGTTAAACAGTTAAAAGACATGCTAAAAGTCTTGGGTATNTCCAACTGCCAGTTGCCTCACATTCCGTTACCTCAGTTCAAACTGGCAGACGTTCCACTCCTTCACTCAGGAGCGGTCTGGGGCTCCTTACAGTATTAAATGTCGGTACCTCACCAAAATGTCTACGCCTTCCACCTATGGAACTGCTTCCGGACTCAAGGTGGCAAGAGAGAGATTCCCTCATGAGTTTCAATCACAGGCCACCCCTGAGCCAATGGATTGTGAACTGAATTTCTCCTGCATTGAGTCCCAGCCCCAACTCACTTCTTACCCTGACTTCCTCAGTTCAGACGAATCTGTTCCTTCTACTGTAACACCAGTTAAAGGGAAGAGAGGGAAAAAACGCAGGAAAAGATTTACAGATGCGATTAGGAGAAGACAATTAAGGGAAGCTGGAAAAAAGTATCGTCAAAGTCATCCCAAAGTCACTAGAGGGGCTGTAAAGCGGTACGCATCCAATAACCCCAACGTTAATCAGGCAGCTACAGCTAAATACAATGAAAAGATATTACAAATCAGATCAAGCTTTAAGTGTCAATTTATCAAGCCCGATCACATAGTGTCGTATCCAGCTTTTGTGTGTGTGTTTGTGTGTGTGCGTGTGTGTGTGTGTGCGTGTGTGTGTGTGTGTGTGTGTGTGAGTGACAATCTGTTTTGCACAATTTGGGGCCCAAAAGCATTTCTTAACACAAAAAGTATAACAGGAAACCAAAGGTGGGCGAAAAGATTTTGATATAGTGAGAAGCAAAGGAGAATTTGGCCTGGAGCAACCATTCCTAACTGGTTGTCCTCTAGATATATAAATTGAACTTTTAGCACAAGAATTACATTTTCCTTTAATGAGGTACAAAAAAGCAGTTCTGTAAAACTTGGATTAATATTGAAAACAGGCCAAAGGACTCCTGTTGACCGCCAGAACCGTGGATGAAGTGAGAAAGAATCAAACTTTTTTTTATTACATTTCACTCAGAAGTAATTTATGTCACTTGAAGGAGGGGGATGGAAAAGTTTGAGAAGTTGGAATTGAATTGCTATAACTTATTCAGGAACTCAGAAGTAAACTTTATTAAAGAACAAGATTTTGGAATCACCTGAATGGTGAGTTGATTTTGCATTTGCAGCTGGCACTTTGACTTGGTGACAATCCTGGTCTCTTAAATTTTGGAGCTGATTCCTACTAGGGAACAGGTTTGTCTGCTCTTGCACAAAATATAGTAATATTTTAATGCCAGCTTTATTTTTGCTTTATTTCAAGAAATGAAATGCTCCATGTAATGTACTAACCTAACCTTGGTTTGATTGTTGCAATCTAAACCAAACTTTTTTTTTAACCAGTCCCATCTTTTGGAAGTGTGTAAGCATAAAATTTCCTATAGAAGTATATAGCTTTCACTTAGGTCAGTGTTCCATTTGGATATAAATGCATGTGTAAGTGAAAACCACAAGTTTGATTGAAAAACTCCTATGGAATGCTTTTCTTTTACTGTAACAATAAACAGTTTATTTTTTTAAATATTTAGAAATAACTACTTTTATGTTTAAAAGACCCTAAAATTATCCAGATTCGCATAGTCTGAAAAGATTTGTTCATTTCTTTCAAATGTTGTTGAGGGTCATTCTTTTTGGCAGTTAACATGCACAACAAACGTATAAGTTGGGAACATGAGCACACTCATTGGTTTTGGTTTGTTATACATAGTAACAACATCTGTGAATTTCATGTGTTACTAGACTAGAGCAATTTGAGTTCAGCTGAGATACTGTGAATTTTGTATTTTCAGCACCAAGTTGTTAAGATGTTATAGTATCCTTTCTCATGTAAACTATGTGGCCAAACAATAACAAATGTATTTATTTTACAAGCAAATTATTTCCATTTTCAATTGCATGCATTGTTACATTTTGCAAACATATTGTACTGGAATTCAAATTTTATATTTCTAAAGCAGTAATAATAGAATATATAATTTTTAGGACATCTTAGAATCAAATCTAAATGATTTTACTAGACTTTAGTTTTATTCTTTTAACATTCTGGAATCAAAGCTGTATAAGAAATCTTGTTGAAGCAAAAACAAGAGAAGCTAAAATCCCTCTCAAAAATAGAAAAGGGTCTTTACTATTTGCTTTCTCATCAAAATATAACCCTTCTAAAATATGCTAATTAAAATAAAACTGTCTAAATGGATAAAACCTGTTCTAAAATGAAACAATTAAGTATGGGCTAAAAATCCACTTTTATAGAACACCAAAAAGGACAACTCAGGGAAAACAACAGGTTTTCCAGCTTGCCTTTAAAAAAAAACCCTGTTTCATCTAAAAAAAGTGTTATGTTGGCCACTCTTTCCTAATCTTGTGCCTTTCAGTTGTGTTAATTGATTGCTCCTGGGGAGCCATAGTTGTCTTGATTGAATGATGGGAGTCATAATCCTGCATATCTGCAGGACATAAAGTTAGGGAGAAGTCTGATATAGATAGGACAAGGAAGTTGGTGGGAGTGTTTGTTGCTGCTCTGAAAGTGCGGTTTTATGTTGTGGATTTTAATGTTGTAAGCTATCCAGCACAGAATCAGTGTCTGTGAGTTGGGCAGCTGTATAAATCTGTTTAATAAATACAATCAAATCTTTTTTTTTTAAACCAATTCTGGATAAGCTTACAGCCAAAAGAAATGATTTTCCATTACAAATCTATAAACTGATGTGCTACTGCCTGGTCCAAACAGTTTCTACAAATGATTCCTAAAGCACTACTGGCAGTCTCCCAAATAGTTAAACAATTGCCCAGACCAAATTAATACTACCTGGAACTGACTGAAGCTCTTAGCCATGGCTGCAGGTTACTATGCGGAAATACCTGTGTTTCAAAACTTAAAAAGAGTGCAGATGCTAGATGACGCCTTCAACCTTTGAGGGTGTCATATTTTGGGGGAAGTCCCTAAAAGATCTTGCTCAAAGTTAAGGAGAAGAAAAAAGTCCTTCCAGCCCACCTGTATTGGTGACTACTGTAGGTAGTCTGCTGGGGTCCAAACTTAAATTATTTTCATCCCTGGTCTAGAACCAGAGGTAGGGGAGAATCCAGAAGCTCTTGGAAGGGAACTGAATGGAACTAAAAGAAGATGCAGCAATAACCCAACCATTCATGTTCTTACAAAATCTATCAGGAAGACATCAAAGTTGTTTTTGGCAGTTGCCAAGATCTTTTGAAAGCAGCTCTCAAGATTCTCCTTTTATCTTCTGATAGATTAACTGGATTCCTCCTGAGTGCAGATTTTTCACTGAATATAAAGTCAGTTCTTTAGTACTGTTTTTTTTTTTTACACCTATGTTTTTTTAATCCTATGCTTCAAAGTTCTAAAGTTTGCTTGTCTGTCTCTTAACTTACTGTTCTCTACTGCCATCTGTAGACCTTGATCTTGCATGCCAGAAGCGTGGGAGAGTAAATATCAGAAAAGATCATCTCTTGTCCGTTATAGGAAAAATCTTTATGGAAAGATTTTGAGTGTTGTGTTCCAGTTAAAGATTTTTAGAAGGATATTTATTTGTTTGTTTGGTGTATGGCATCTACAGAGGTCATGCAATCACTGAGAAGATGGAAGGATATTTGTAATAGAGTATCTATGCATCTTGAAATTAAGAAATAGAGACCTGGCAAAGTATGTCATATATGATGTACCGGTATTTATTTTATTGGTTTATCAGCCACCTCTGTTTCTGTGACAGCTCTAGACAATATATAATCATGTAGTAAATATGTCCTTAAAACCGAAACAAAAGGAGGTTAATCATAGCAACTGTTAACAACTCACATTGGGGAAACCATAAATACTAATATAAGCATCAATCAAACTCAGATACCAGACTCCAAATTATGCTGCTTTGGGATCTGCTGAAAGAGCCAGATCTTCAGAGGTTTCCTAAAAGCTAGCAGGAATATGGCTATATGGATATCCATGAGGAATGCTGTTCCCGAGGGCAGGGGTGGCCAGAAAGAATGGACAGGTTGTACCGACTTGTGTCACTTGCTGCTCTTACTGGGTTGACAACAGGCAGTGATAATGGCATGTCTGGTTTTTAATTGCTTCTACTTCTAGAATGTATGTGTCAGTACCTCTCCATTAGGTAATTAGGAAAGAAGACCACGAGACTCCGTAGGTAGAAATCAAGTGTACTTTTACTAATTATAAATGATTAAAGGCATAGCGAAGCGAAGACTGATTATTTAGGCGTGAAAGCGATTGATATATAGAATAACCCATTCCCCCCCCCCCATCACAGTTACAGTCCAATCATAATTCTCCCAAGTGTCAGGTGTGAGATAACTTCAAAAGGCATCACTAAGATGGAATGTTGGTGCCGTTAGTCCTGGCGGGAACCTCCTACGCATGCGTAGTCCGACAGGCAGCTGAGCTCCAGAATCTTCCTCCAGCACAATTAGTAACCCCTCCCAAATACCATGCCCTCCCTCCCCGTTTCATGGTAGCCGAAGCAGCAGCAAAGCAGAGGCTGACGTTATGAAGAAAATGGAATATCCAAAGCTGAATGGTGTGGCTATTGCACTTACAAACAAGCTGATCAAACTGCTACTACTGCTTATCTTACAGGAGATTAATATATGGTATCTAGAATCATTTCTTCATATCAACTTACAATTATAAGAAATGGTAATCAAGAGTTATGATGTTTTATTTGAACAAAAATGTTTTGTGTTCAGAGACAGATCTCAAACTTCTTCCTAAAACAATAATCTTTATATACATTAACAGGTGGAGAAGCAAGGCCTGTTCCAAGTGGCAGCATAGGGTGCTTCAATCTGTGGAATGTCTTCAGGTATGAAAAATTATCCACAAGTCTCTGATGGGTTGAATCTAAAATATACTAAACTGTAAAATAATATGAGGATAAAGAGAATTACTCCAGAAGGCAGGATAAGATTGATTTACATAAGATTTTTCTCTTGTTTAATGAGAACATTTAGAAAAAGTGTTATGTGCCATGTCTATGTAGATACAATAGAGTATACCATTTCTTCCCCTCCATTCTCATGGAAGATAATAAATATCACTGTGGGTCATAATTGAGAAAATTAGGCCAACAAATAAATTCAGGTGCTGTCTCAGGAATGTAGATACTTTACAACAGGTTTCCTTAAGAGCAGTTGAATGAAATGCACTATTTTGAAAAAACTAAGAACAGAATTAGAAAATCACAAGCAGAATTTAATAGATTTCAGTCAAAATCACATTTACAGAATGCCAAAGTCTCTGATTTGTTAAAAAAAGGAGAATATTTGTAGCTCAGAGTTGAAATGTGGGGTCATTGGTGGTCTCTGAGCTTGTGTATTGATGATGTTTGAGTAATGAAATTTGCAGAAAACAACCAAGCTTGTAGAGTACCAAGGATCCTTCAGCTTTGATTTACACCCAGTCCCAAATGGTTTTGAATCCAGTTTGTTGTTCAATTCAACTTGGGTACTTTGAATGTCACACAATTAAAAGAGTAAAAAGTTGACAATTCAGGGAATTTTATATTGATTGCATCCTTAGTTTGCAGAAAACAGGGCTTGGCGGGGGATTTCAGATTTATTCACGGAATACTTGGTTCTAATTTTATCTTTCCCACAGCTGCATAGATTTGAGAGGAGGCTGGTTTGAGCACTGTTTTCTGTGCTTAATCCACCCCTTTCAGCAAGTCTTCTGTAGATTTCTTCATTTCACTATCTTGTTATGAATTGTACTAGAAAGAAAAAATTGAACATCGCTCAGTTTCACTGTTGCTCATGCTGTGGTATTTCACCACAAAACATGATTTAATTTTCAATGCTCAGTGTGACTGAAATCCAAAGAGTGGCTTGCCTACAGTGACAAATGATTTTTTAAAAACCACAAACCCATATGGTGAGCAATTCCTCATTTGAAATGCATCTTAAAGCAATATAAGCACAAGATGAGTCTATTTCATTATATTCCATTTTGCTTTGGGCTGGAAAAATCAAAGAAAATTGCATGCCTAGATGGTAAGTTACAAGCAAGAGTAGTTGATGTAGAGTAGCATCTTAAGACACATCTGTTGGAGCTTAAAGTAGCCTTAGTGCTTACATAGCAGGTGGTTCCATATTTTATATGCAAAACTTTAGAAAATACGTCTGCTTCTTTTATTTATATAGCAGGATTATTCACCAGATAACCCGAAACTCTAGTGTTTGTACTGAGAATTGGATAATAAAGAAGGAGAAAATGTTCTGTTCTTAATTAAACCAACCAGAATCACCCACAGCTGCTTTTTTCAAGAGGCAACTGGACTTTCTGGTTTTTCTTTGAAGACATTTTGCATCCAAGAAGCTTCTTGGGAAAACCTAAAAGTCTACTTGCCTCTTGAAAAAAGCATATTTGGGACAACCATGACCTGGATGACTGAGAATCTCCTTAGACAGTTAGCAGCCGGAATCACAATGCAATTTTTTTCCCACCTCTGCAGTTTGAAGACAAAACGGATACAGTGTTTAGTAACACAGAAAAAGAAGGTGAGTGCAATTGTTTGCTCATGAAATATTTCCTTCACCCCATTTTGTTTGTGTGTATGCATGTATGAGTTGCAAATGTTTCTGTTAAGATAATCCAAAAGTCCAGGCACCTGTAAATGCTACATATGCTGGTAAAGATGAGAATGAGATCTTGATCAAAACCTCTCCTGCTTGGTCAGCTGGATTAGGCCAATGGACACAAAGTTTCTTTTGCCTGGGGGAATATAGCCCACAGGAATTAATAGTGAGAGAGCCATAGCTTCTGACATACTTTAAATCTGTAGTGAAGCTATTTTTTAATGTGGTATTTTCATTTTGTGTTATACTGGCTCAAAAGGAATGTTGCAGATTTGGAAAAGACACAAAAATGTTTTTTACTATTACCATAGTTATTTTTCACAAAGTGAGAAAAGTCTAATTGAAAATGGGGGACTGATGACTGGAAAGAATTTAATAAAAGTTGTACCCATAATTTAAAAAGTGCACATTATGAATAACTTCCTCTCAAAAATATCATAGTCTTAATTGGTAATATGTTTATGTCAAACAAGTCACGTTAAAAAAATTATGAGTAAGTTCAGCTATATGTTATAGCTGACTCTAAATTTAGAGTGCTTTTTTTAAAAAAGACATCCTGTTGTCTTCCCCTCTTTAGGTACAAACATTATAGATTCTGAGATGTCTGAGAAGACAGTCCACAACCTCAGTCCTGCTTTTGACAGCATCCCTTACAGAATGCAGAGCCGGACAGGATCCACAAACTCTTTGCTGGATGACAGTGATTATTTCCTGAACTCAGGAGACCTTGCAGGAATCCCTGTGGTTGGGAGTGACAACGAAGAAGAGCAGACTTTTGCTCCAAAGGATGGTCTCTCTTCTGCCCTTCGCTCTGAAGATAGCCGGGGAGATGGGAGGAGGGCCCGGGATCATGTGGTGGACAATGAAAAAGACACCCAAATGCAAAACATGATCCAGAAGGATCTCTCTCCCCCTTTTGACAAGGGACCCTCTGTCTTTAAATCCCTGAGGAAAGACTTTAGCATCGCAAGAGATGATAGCAAAGACACATTTTTGACAAAGGAGAAAACCAGAGAAGGATCTTTCCAAGAACGTGACAAACGTTTGGAAAAAATGCCGAAAGAGCTGGATTCCAGATTGAAAAGCAGTTTGCTCGATAAATCAGGTAATAATATTCACTCTGTTTTCCTAGGAAAGTTCAGCGCTCCTGTTTTTTTCAGGAACTGACTCATACTTCACACTCAAGATAACATGGATTCTTCTTTTTCAGCTAGCATGGGACTTCAGCCATTGTGGGGTCTCGTTTGCAACAAATCCTAGTTAGCCTAGCACATTATGAGAACCAGATCAGTGAGACACCTACAAGGATTTTCTCTGTAAATGATGGTTGTTCAATGTTTTGGCTTGCTTGGGCCACATTGAGTGAAGAGGAATTGTCTGGGGCCGCATATAAAATATGTAATGTAGTTAATGTATATAAGTAACAAGCTTCTTCTATTTTTTATGTTTTTATTATCTTGTGGGGCCACATTACTAGTTGTCTAGGGCTGCCTGGATTGTGCAGCAAAAGTCTAGCCCATATTTCCAACTTGTGGTCTGCTGTTCAGACTTCTGTGGTTTCCTTGCTGCCATCTGGATCAGTATGCCTTTTCTTGACCCACTTGATTCAATTTTATTTTAAACATTTGAAGTTTCTTAGTTCCACAAGTTTAAGAAACTGAAGCACTGTTGAATAAGTTGTCTTTTCCCCCAACACATTGAAGTATGTGAAATGTACTCGATTTAGTCACACATACACACACACACTCACTCACTCACTCACTCACTCACTCACTCACTATTTGGAAGATGTTGATATAAATGGTTTGGGTTTCCACAGTCAATCAAGGATTTTTTTAAAAAATGTTACTAATTGCACTTTCTGTATTCCTCAGTTGTGAATCAAGTAGATGAAACGTTGCGGACACATTTAGCACCGCAAACACCAGAAACTAACTTCAGGGTAAGTAGCAGCTCTTGTGAAGTTTTTCCTTTTATTAGGAGTCATTTTGCAGATTAAGATGGATGGCATATATGTTTAATAAAAATAACATTTTGTGCCATAAAACACATTCTGGAGACTAGGATTATTGTAAGAATTTGGTTGTGCTCTTGTACCTTCAGCTGGTGATTGTTCAAACTGTTCTAATGTCCCAGAAGAGTGGGGTGATTAGACGGTAACCATAGGGTGCTTCGCTCTGAAATTCCAAAAGAATAGGATGCAACTGAAAGGCCAGGAGAAGAGTGAATATATTGCTGGGATAGAAAATGGAACCAACAGTAGCCTGCCTGCAGTTCTTCTAAAGACGCTGCATCTTTTCATGCCTTCACTTGGTAGTTGCAAAGAACAGCTGGGTGATACTAAGTAAAGGAGCGGCAGCTCTGAAGATAGGCAGGCAAATATGGTCTGCCTTCATGTACACTGTATATGCTAATAGAGGAGAATATTTGTAGCTCAGAGTTGAATTGAGGGGTCCTTGGTGCTCTCTGTTCTTATTTTATTTATTTATTTCATTTATTGACTTATTTATTTATTGTATTTATATTGCTGCCTATTTGCCCATGGCGACTCAAGGTGGCTTACAGAATATAAAACCACATTTAAAACAATAAAACTAATAAAAAGAATCAGATTAATATAGTATGATATAATAAAATCACCCTCCGCCCAGGTGACAGCAGATCACAAGAGTCATTTAATGGTCTCCATCCCGCTCTGGGTTTCCCAGGCCCACTGGCAGAACCTTTCATTACTCAAACTAGGTAACATCATTAACATCATAACATCTGATAATGCTACCTAGTTTGGCTAATGAAACATCTGCAAGAAAACAAGCAAGCTCAGAGAGCACCAAGGACCCCTCACCCTGTTTATGTCAAAGCACTTTTTCTGATTAAAGCTTGAGGCACTGCATAGCCCTGATGCGAACGCTAAAGCATATTTCCCACATCTACATTCTAGGAATCTAACTACCTGTTTGCTAATAAGGACTCTGTTGGCCAAGAGCACGGGAACTCCTATGCGTCCAATATTAGAATCAAAGAAGAGCCTTTGGATAATGACTACGATAAAGCTATGGCACCTCAGCCGGGGCTACTCAATAAAATTAAGGATGAACCAGACAGTACTGAGGTAAGATCCATCTCTGGTTTCGGGCACGTGTTGTTTTGAGGATGCATTGAGAGTTTTGCGATTCGCTCAATAATTATAGGCCCTTGTAAATAGGCAACAGTTAAATGGTGCATAAAAGACCCCAAAATAATCAGCCACTCCTATGCAACATAGGAATTTTAGATGCATTAAAGGCAGGAAAAGGCATTTCACAGATTGGGATATTTACAACGGGACCCTCATATGTCGCTGATTGCACTGGGGTTAAGTGACGTGTACTCTAGATAGGGGCTTGGGTGCTTCTGGTTACAGCAGTTGGAATTTCATCTGTGGCCATTTTGTTTCAGGATTATGGCCAGCAGCCAAAAACTCAGGAAGGGGAACTGAAAATCAGTGCTGTGTTTTCTGTCAGTGGCAGCCCTCTCGGTAAGGATCAAGATTTGGGCTGGGTGGGAATTAACAGACATTTTGTGTCCATCAGTTGTTTGGAGAAACAATTTCACATGTTTTACATAGACAAGACTAGCTCTCCACAACATGGCATCTTCTAGAGGTGTATTGGTGTGTGCTTACTCACTTAGTTTATATCCTGCCTGGCCTGCAGGAGTTTAAGGCTGCATGTGTGGATGCCTCCCTTTATCTCCTCCCCACAGCTTTGTGAAATAGGTTGAATTGTTTGATCAAGAAAAGTTGGCCTGGAGAAATTATGTAAGATGTATTAAATAGGGTTGTTGAATTTTTCTTTTTCATCTGTCAGGATTGAAGAGGGTGGGGAATGCATTTGCCGGCAGGGTAAAGTAAATCTTAAAATGGGATTCCACAGATGAGAAGACAACCTCAGTAGCATTGCGTGTGTGTGTTCTCTTTTTGGCAAGCTCCGCAGCTGACCTCAGGTTTCCCACCTAACACGCCATCCTCTGGCATGAACAAGCTACTTCCTTCGGTCCCAAGTACAGCCGTTCGGGTTTCCTGTTCGGGATGCAAGAAGATCCTGCAGAAGGGGCAGACGGCGTATCAAAGAAAGGGCTCGACTCAGCTCTTCTGTTCCACACTGTGCCTCACGGGATACACTGTACCAGCTGCCCGACCGCAACCTTTCACCAAGAAAACCTGTTCCAGCTGCTCAAAGTAAGGGCAGATAAGGGACTCACTCAATGCCCACCTGGTCCTAAAGGTCTTGGTAAAAACAGCAGGGGAGAATATCAGTACAAGTGTAAGATCAGCTGGAATCCAACCTTTAGATTCCTTATACGTTTTACTCTCTTCCTCTGGACTTACAGCATAGTCGGAGTTAAAGCCTCATGGCCTGCCTTCCACAGGGCTTTAACCCAAAGGGGTGGCAGTTACATTTTGTAGTGCTTTAATTTTCTTATAATAAAGCAGAGCTTGTTAAAATCCTTTACACCTCTGGGATATATAAGACAATGTTGGATAAATGAGGCAGTGCTTTGCCAGAATTAAGTCCAGTCTCCCAGTGTCTATTGCAGCAACCTCTCCTTCCATGGTTCATGGGGTGGAGACTAGGCCATAGGTCTTCTTAGTGGTGGATCTTGTTTTATGGAAAGCCCTTCCCTAGTATTTCGTAAGCAGACCAAAGCAGTTTTACTCCAGGATGCATTTGACCCCTGGTTTAGTTTGTTTAGCTTTATGGAAAGCTGTTGTATTTGCTACTTCCTGTTTTATGATACCATTTAATTTTGTATACTTTTGTTCTTCATTTGTATGTTGACCTTGTTGTGTCCCACTCCTACACCCATTCTCTTTAGATTGTGTAATAAATCCAGGAGTTTCTGGGTAAATACAACTTGATTAATTAAAGCAACAATTGATGGTCTCATTTTGATAAACTTTCTCAGCCTAGTGTAGAATGGTGACTGGATTCTTGTTATCCTGGGGATATATTAGAATATTGGTATTTCAGCGTCATATACCGTATTTTTTGGAATATAAGACACACCTTTTTTCCTCTAAAAAGAGGCTGAAAATCTGGGTGCGTCTTACACCGAATACAGCATTTTTTTGCCTTGCCTCCTGAAGCCCCGCCCCTTCACCAAAATGGCCGTGCATAGCCTTATGGAGGCTTTCAGAGAGCTCCTAGGGCTGGGGAGGGCAGAAATGAACAAAAAACAGGCTATTTTTGCCCCCCCCCAGCCCCCGGCAGCACTCTATAAGCCGCCATAAGGCTATACATGCAATTCTTTTGCTCGTTTTTGGGGGCCCCACCCCCCCAGGAGCACTCTGCACCCCCCCCCCAAGGCTATTCATGCCTTTTTTAAAAAAAATGGGCCTGTTTTCGTGAAAAACGGGCCGTTTTGGGGAGGTTTGCAAAGTGCAAAAACTTTTTTTTCCCTTTCAGAAAGCTGTTTAGTTAGAGGGATTGATGAGAATTACGTTGATCAAGTGCTGTTTTAGGTGCTACAGGTTGTCAGCTATTTCCTTCTCCAGCACATAGATAAATACACCTGGAAACATCTACCTACCATCTACCTACCTACTCTCTCCCTACCTACCTATTGTATTTCTCTCTCCCCCCCTCTATCTACCTATATACCTACCTACCTACTCTCTCTATTCTCTCTCTCTCTATCCCTCTACCTACCTACCTATCTACTGTATTTCTCTCTCTATCCCTTTACCTACCTACCTAACTACTCTTCTCTTTCTCCCTACCTACTGTATTTTTCTCTCTTTCTCCCTCTCTCTCTCTATCCCTTTATCTACCTATCTACTTTTAAAAAAAATTTGCCTCTTCAAAACCTGGGTGCGTCTTATACTCCAGTGCATCCTATACTCCGAAAAATATGGTAATAATATTTGTGTTATCTGCCTTTGATACTTTTCCCATATTATTTTCTCAGTTTAAAAAGCATTAAGGGTTCATCTCTGCAAAATCCTAGAAATACGCATACTATCTCAAATGTCTCTGCATGGTCTCCTCCAGGGAATTAGGGGACCTGGCAGGATTCCAATTCAGCTGGTGGGTGGCATTGAGCAAACGGCATTCTTGGCACCAATGGTACCGTATCTGCTGAATTAAAGTGAATTGCCAAGCCAGCGATTCCATTGCTTGGCATCCTCAATCGTGTTAGGATTACAACTTCCATGCTGTTTGAGAAACCTGCAAGTTGCAGATCCAATTCACTGAAGTTGGGAGACTGCCAGAGACATTACAGATACAGCCACTGCTTTTGTCCTGTGTGGATTGTTATTTCTGGGTCTGAAAAAGTTAACTCTCCTTCTTTCTCTTTAACTCTTTAGGGACATCCTGCATCCAAAAGATGTGATTACAGCTCAGTTTGACAATACAAATTCCAGCAAGGATTTCTGTAGCCAGTCCTGTCTTTCCGTGTATGAGTTGAAAAGGAAGCCTGTGGTCACCATCCATACAAACAGTATCTCCACCAAATGCAGCATGTGCCAGAAGAATGCAGTGGTAACCATCTTTGCTAGTCTTCCCTTGTTCTGAATGTTTGGGGTTGCTATATTCTGAGTTGGCTGCCTTTGGGGGTTAGAGCCATCACGTTCAGCACATATTCAGCAACAAAGCTCCTCAGGTTGTTTTGATGAAGCCATTAAATCTATTGAACTTTGAGTGAATTTTTGAGGTACAAATGGTAAAAGCATATTGCATGTGCGCCTGAACGAAACAAAAGCCAAAAGATAACAAGGATCCATCTACAGCTCTGTAAATCACCATGGAGCAATATATAAATCTATTGCTATTATTTTAAAGTTTGCCAATATGCAAATTATATTCAGTTCTTACTCTTTTAATCTGCCTCGAACAAAGAGAAAAATAGAAGTATTGAACTGGTTGAACCAGTGTCTGGATTCAGTAAAGAAAGTGATTCTTAATCCAGACTCAACCAGGTAAAGTACTCAAAATCAGTAGGCTGACTGATCCAATGATGGGGCATCATATTTATTTATTTATTTATTTATTTAATTAATTAGTTTGTATGCCGCCTACTCTCTAAAGACTCAGGGCGGCTTACAACTAAATATTATTATAAATAAGGTAACAACTCTCCAAAAATAAAATACACAGTCAAGGGTGCTCCTTGGATTAGGACAGTTTTTGGTCTCTCAGATGCAGCACATGAGAGGAAACCTTTACCCAGTTTCAGCTGATGGGCACAAACCATGTTTAGACAAGAATAGTTCATTATATGCCTTGATCAAGCACAGTAAATATGTGATTGTATAGAATGAAAACATAATAAAATATATATATAAAATAAAATTTAAAAAAAGAATAGTTCGTTCCAAATTGTTCTGTGTTTATAACAGAAAATTGTCAGAAGTAATGAAAGTCAATATTTAAATAGGTTCTTTTAATCTGATGTTCATCCCATAGATTTGAATAATTTTTGTTGAAAAAAATCTGTGTAAGATGAATTATCTTTAAAAAAGAAACTAACCAGTACTTAAGGGAGTCTTAATTGCACCTCATTTAGACACCCCAATTAATCTTCCCCCAACTGTCTCTCTGACAACTGAAATGATCCACTCATTCAGTAAGAAGCAGACAGTTTGCTGTTAATGAAAAAAAATCCAATTTGGCAATAAAGCATTTATTTACATGGCTTGTCAGAGTTTGTTAACACATTCATGAGCCCCCAATAATTATTTTTAAACATTATGTCTGTTCTTAGCAACATATTTCTATATTAAACATTTAGCCTTGGGTATATTTGGGAATAAGCACCTATAGCACAAAAGCGGGCATAATTAACTTCAGTGTATGCAATTCATTTGAATTAGATTCAGATTTAGTTGTACTTTGAACATTGTAATCAGCAAGAGGGATTTCATTTTCAGTGGAGTTACTATAAACATTACAACAGAGCTGTGCAAATTATTTTGAATCCAAAACACTTCAAGCTTGAAACTTTTACGCTTGAGATGGCTGTTTTGGCCTTACGTGATGAATTTTAGAGCAGCTACAGAATGGTCAAAAAGTATCAGGATTGCTTCCAGTAAGAATTAGCTGCTTTGAACTCGAATCGTGGGGTTTTGGGCTTGAAGCATTTTGAGTTTGAAACATTTTGCATGCTGTTATAATTCAAGGAGGTATCCAATCAGAAGTCCCGCTCCTAATATTGCATTTTTCCATGATGAAGTGCAAATGGGATTGAATTGACTCTCCACCATTTTTCAATTTTTAGGTATTTTTCACTGGGTCCTGTTCTATACTCATGCGTTCTATACCAGGGGTCTCCAACCTTGGCAACTTTAACACTTGCAAAGTTGGGTGAGGAACTCTGGAAGTTGAAGTCCACAAGTGTTAAAGTTGCCAAGGTTGGAGACCTCTGTTCTATACTATTGTGTGATAACACAATAGATGGGAAGTGTCGATTATGTTCTAATCTGTCCCATAAACATTAAAGAGCAACCTTTAGGCTACTGCTAGAGATATTTGCTTCACTCATTGCTAATTCCTGTTTGTTCAGCTTTTTAGTTCGATGCCCTTATTTTATTTTTTAACTTTGTGTGTATCCTTCATGCAAAGGACAAGGCAGTGTTCCCTTTCCCTCCCATTTAAACCCCGTCACAACCTTTTGGTTAGGCTGAGAGTTAGACTGGTCTTAAATCACCCAGGGGGTTTTATGTAGCTGCATAGAAATTCCAATCTGGCTATCCCCAAGACCAGCCCAACATAAAATCGGTATTATACACTGGCTAAAGATAAAGTCAATTTAAAACTCTTAAATGGTGTCTGGAATATGCTTATGCTCAACATTTCTAATGTCAGATGACAAAATATATATATAAATGTAATGGTAATTTTAGACTGAGCTCCGGCAGCAGCAGTAAAAGATTATAAGTAGATGTGCTCCTCACTTAACTATAGTAATTGTTAATTACCAGCAATCAAAATTAAATTAATTAAAACCAGCAGTTTAGTTCACTGCTGGACGGTGCAGTCATAAAATGTGTGACTGCATTGACTTATGGCAGCATTGTGGCAGTCCTAGTTGCCGTTGTTAGTTGAATCACATTTAGTTGCAGCATCCCATAATCATATATTCACCATTTGTGACTCCCCCCTCCCAAATCAGCTTTCCCAGTGATTGCGAGTCAGTTTCTAAGAGCCTGAATCATGACTGCAGGGATGCTGGGAGGGCCACAATTGCGAAGATCTATTTTAAGTTCCTCTCCTATAAGTGTGTCACAAGTTACACTGGCTGCTGAACAAATGGTTGTTCAAGAAGGATGACCTGTCTGCAAGAAGCAGTCTCATTGGGCATCAGAATAGCTGGCGCTGTTGTAGTATTTTGCTAGTTTAAACTAAATTTCCCCAATCTGGTGCCTGATAGATGTATTGCACTTAACTTTCCTCCAGCATGGCTACAGTTCTTTTCCCAATCAAAAGCTGTTTCCCAATTCTACAGTTTCCCAATCTGGCAGCCCTCCTGATTATGTAGAGTTCCAACACCCAGAATTCTTCCCACTAACAAGTCTACAAATCTAATAATTGCTATTATTGGGAAATGCTGTTGTATTGGGTTTGCTAAAGAAGGTGGGAGTTGTTAGTCAGACTTCCTGGGAAGTGCCACTTCCCAGGAAGTCTGAGAAGGTTTTTTGGCTTGGACTAAACCAAATTAGATGGAAAGCACTACAAACTGGAGGATCAAATAAGCTCATTGACATTTCTTTGCATATCATAAATGGGGCTTTAATCAGTGATGGGGATTCAAATAATTTAACAACAGGTTCTCTGCCCTGATGACAAGCTGAGTAAGTGGGGCTTGGTGGTCATGCGAGTTGTTGGGCATGGCCAACTCAACGTCACTCAGGTCGATGGGTGCTTCGCCTTAGCTGTTACAGTGTAACAAGGGTTAACTGGAGAGGCAGTTTCTGTAAGTAGGGCGATAAAGATTAGGCTAGAAACAATGCCAGAATGTTTTCTTCCTGCCTTCCTTACAGGATTAGCCTTGTGAAGTGGAAAAAAACGAAAGGAGATTTCAAAACAAAATTAGATAATGTTTGGTGTGTGTGAGGGGTGGGGGAGAGAGAGAGAGAAGCTCCTTTGATAGAAGGAAAAGTCTGAGGTCATTCTTCTGGCAGTGACTGTCTTGCTTTTCCTACCTACAGATTCGGCATGAAGTGAATTACCAGAATGTTGTACACAAGCTTTGCAGCGATGCCTGCTTCTCCAAGTTTCGTTCCGCAAACAACCTGACCATGAACTGCTGTGAAAACTGTGGAGGCTACTGCTACAGTGCTTCGGGACAGTGTCACATGCTTCAGATAGAGGGGCAGTCCAAAAAGTTTTGCAGCTCAACATGTGTCACTGCCTACAAGCAGGTCTGGGTTTTCTCCCACCTTTTAACTTTTGAAGAGCACTTATCTCTGCAAATAGGACTTGGTGTATGAAGTTTACTAAGGACTGGGGAAGGCTCTAAGGACTGGGGAGGGCACTTCAGTGTAAGAAGGTCTCTTGAAGCTGCATGTGGGAGGAGGCACTGCCCTTCAGGGGTGCATATCAGATATAGTCCTTGACTTATGACCACAGTTGGCACCAGAATTTCCATGACTAAGCAAGTCGATTGTTAAGTGAGTCACGCATGATTTCATGACATTTTTTGCCAACTTTCTTAAGCAAATCACTGTAGTTCTTAAATGAATCATGCAGTCATTAAGCGAATCCGGCTTCTCCCATTGACATTGCTTATCGGAAGCTGGCTGGGAAGGTTGCAAATGGAGGTCACATTACTCTGCAAAACTGCAGCCATCATAAATACATGTTGGTTGCTAAGGGCCCAAATTTTGATCATGTGTCCATGGGAATGCTACAACAGTTGTAAGTACGATGACCAATCACAGGTCATTTCCTTCCGTTGCCATTATAACTTCGAGCAGTTCTTAAAGGAATGTCTGTAAATCGAAGACTACCTGTATTGGGTTGAGAGGTCTTCTTCCATATCAGACAAACCCCTGCAAAGTAAAAAGTTGAGATAACAGACAGCAAGCAGCAGCCACCCATTTCCAGTATTTTTCAAATCTTTTCAAAATCTTACCAATTTTAGGGGGAGTGGAAACCTCTCAATATTTTCCACAGTGTCTTTGAATGCTTTCCATATGAGGACCCCAATTTGTCAGGAATCTCATTGGTATAGAGATTCTGAATATGAATATACATACACACACAGAGAGGGGGAGGACACCTGAAAAACACCTGATGAGAATGATTGGAAAAGGGAAATCAAGCCCCCCCCAAACAGCATTCCTGGTATTCCCCACTTTACAATTTTCAGGGGGAAAAATACCTGGGCTTCTGGGGAATGTATTGAATCAAGAAGAAATTGTGTACAAGTAGCCCTCGACATATAATCACAATTGAACCCAACATTTCTGCTGTTAACAAGATGACTATTCAGTCAGTTTTGCTCCATTTTACACCCTTTCTGGCCATAGTTGTTAAGTGAATCACTGCAGTTGCTAAGTTAGTAAAAATGAATCTGGCTTCCCTAATTAACTTTGATTGTCAGAAGGTCTCAAAAGCTGATCACATGACCCCGGGACACTACAACCCTCTTAAATAGATGCCAATTGCCAAGCTTCTGAATTTTGATCCTGTGGCCCATAGGGTCGCAATGGTCGCAAATATGAAAAATGGCCATAGGTCACTATTTCAGTGTCGTCGTAACTTCAAACGGTCACTAAATGAATAGTTGTAAGTCGCGGACTTTCCATCTATCATTTTTCGATTAAGACTGAGCTCTCTATCAAGATACATAGTTCCTGCCTTTCACATGATATAAACAACCGGGAGTAACTTTCTATGGTCTGCCAAATTGAGAGAGTGTATGTTTCAAGTTAAATGAGCCTTTTCTCCTTGTTTTATATACAATTCCTTTTTTTCCAGAAGTCTGCAAAAATTACCCCCTGCGCAATGTGCAAATCTCTGAGATCTTCTGCGGAGATGATTGAAAGCACAAATAACGTGGGGAAAACAGAGCTCTTTTGTTCCGTGAATTGCTTGTCGGCACACAGAGTCAAAGTGGTCACATCGTCAGGTAATTCACTTACTTTCCCCATAATCCCATGTATGTTCAGAAAGCAACAGGGGAAGCATGTATTAAATTCACTCTCTTTTCGTGGCACATGTTACTTAATTCATTTTTCCTGCCAGGTGTCCAGGTCCAGTGTAATAGCTGCAAAACCTCTGCCATCCCTCAGTATCATCTTGCAATGTCAGATGGAAGCATACGTAATTTTTGCAGCTACAGCTGTGTGGTGGCTTTTCAGGTACATCTTAAGCCTCTGTCTGTCTCCTAACTTTTGATTGCACCACTCTGAATGCAGATGAATCAGTGTGCGTGCCCACAGAGAGAGCTCTGCATGCCACCTTTGGCACATATGCCATAGGTTCGCCATCATGGCTATATACTCTTCAATGTAAAGAAAGCACACCTGGCTTTAATTCTCTAGGAAGCTGCTGGAACTGCCCTTGTTACAATTTTTAGGCAGTTTTGTTAAATTTGTATATCAGAAGCCTTTCTGTTAGAGGGCTGATGGTCTTTGGAATGTTTGGAAGAGGCCAAGCTGTTCTGGTAAACAGAAAACTAGCAAAAAAAAAATCTCTCTCTTTAAGCTGTTGCAGCATGGACTCTCTGTCCCTTCCACTGCCACAAACAGGTGGGTTTGGATCTGGCCTCCCTCTGCAAGATAGCAAGTCCAGCCATCTTCTCTTTGTAGACCTGCAGTAAGAATGCCATATAATGTACAAGATTGCTCCATAGAAGTCTGTCAGAAGGTTACCGTATGGGGCCTACAAAGCAGCCACTAGATGGCAGCAAGGAGGTAAATTTTCTGAATGTCTTTGCTGCCATCTAGTAGTCCTATAGATGTTTGCAGCTAGATACAGTAGCCCCAGTTTTGATGGCTTATGGTTAGGCTGTTTTAAGTCTTAGTTGGGTAATACTGGAGGTGAATTGGACAAGGATAGGGCTTCATTGTGCAAATCTACATTGGCTCCTCTCTCTCTCCCTCCCAGAATTTGTTCAATAAGCCCTCGGGAATGAATTCCTCCGTGGTGCCCTTGTCGCAGGGCCAAGTGATTGTCAGCATTCCCTCAGGAGCGACGGTTTCTGCGGCGGGCAATACTACCTCAACAGTCTCTCCCAGCTCGGTCAGCAGCTCAGCCGCCGCCGGCCTCCAGAGGCTGGCTGCCCAGTCCCAGCAAGTCTCCCGCACCGTCGCCAAGCTCAGGTGTCAACACTGTAATCGTCTCTTTGCAACGAAGCCCGAAGTGCTCGACTACAGGGTAATTGGCACCTGCCATTGTTGTTTTTCACAGATGCCTTGACGTCGGACACATGAGGGCTGTAATTGTGGACAAGAAGCCTAGTGACAGGCAAGGTCGTGTGTATTCCATGCTTAGTTCCCACACCCCCCACGCCCCCTCATAAACCATAAAATTGTTTGCACCAGCAAAAAGTGAAGCTTGAGACTTGTGTGAATAATGCAGATTGCATAATGTCTCCTTTTGCTAAGTCCTTATGCTAAATAACTATATTAAGAAATTATTCTGCAAACCTCTTACCTGTAAGGTAATTAATTCCTTGGTGGGGTGGGATATAGGACAGTTTGCCGTCACCAACTCACCGTGGCCATCTTGCTACAGCCAACTCATCGTGAGACAATTCCAAATGGAATTAACCTAATCCTGTCGTCCCAAAGGTGCTTTTTCAGGAGGCAACTGGACTGTTTTTTCTTTGAAGACATTTCACTTCTCATCCAAGAAACTTGGATAATGGTAGGATAATGGAAGGATTCAGTCACCATCCAGTGAGAGCTGAAGAAGCTTCTTGGATGAGAAGTGAAACATCTTCAAAGAAAAACCAAAAAGTCCAGTTGCATCTTGAAATAGCGCCTTTGGGATAACCAGGACCTGGATGACTGAGAATCTCCATACCTAATCCAATAAATGCTATCCTCCACTGTCTCTTCAACATTATTTCCACTTTTGCCAATGGAAGACACAGTGGGGGATAACATCGCATTGAGTTATCCCACATAGAATTGTCTTGCAACGAGTTGGCTCTGGCAACATAGCCGCAGTGAGTTGTCCCATTCCATTTCCTGGAGGTTTTTGCAGCTCATAAAAGTGGCAAGTGACACTCCCCCCCCCCCCCAAGCTCCTGGAAATCTTCTTTTACCACTATTCTGTCTTCTGATATTTAGCAGGCATTGCTCACCTGCTTTTTTAACTACTCCCGTACAGCTCTTAAGGCCTTGGCCTATGGATTTTTAATGACAGCTGTGCATTTTCATTCCCGAGCAGACTACAAACTGGCAGCTCTGCAAATGGCAGCCGGTAGTCTTGATTAATGACAGATTTTGGCAGGTTCTTGGTGTAGGGTTTTGTTTTTTTTTTTTTTGTTTTTTTTTTTGTTCGTCTTTTAAATGGTAATGGGTGAACTTGCATTTCTTTTGAGAGAAGCACCCGATGGCATGTTCTTTACTGAATTGGGTTTCATTTTTATTTTATTTTTTGCTTGATTGCAGGGCAAAATGTTCCAGTTTTGCGGCAAGACCTGTTGTGACGAATACAAAAAGATAAACTGTGTCATGTCAATGTGTGAATACTGCAAAATTGACAAGATCGTTAAAGAAACGGTGCGATTTTCAGGCATTGATAAAACATTCTGTAGTGAAGGTAAGAAAGCATGGGCTTCATTGGCATTCAGCTCCCCAGATAGGCAGTGGGGGAAATGGCCACTTTAATCATCGTTTCTTCCGTATATGCTCGTGTGTAAAATAAAAAGCTTTAACTTTTGAATTGTAAAAATGTTTGCTTCTGAAATTGTTACACATTGGGGGAAGATGGTTGGAGAATTCTAAGTCATTGTCATTTGTTATTCTCGGCTCTTTTTTTAGGCTGCAAGTTGCTTTACAAGCATGACTTAGCCAAACGTTGGGGAAATCACTGTAAAATGTGCAGCTACTGTTTGCAAACCTCTCCAAAACTGGTGCAGAATCACTTTGGAGGCAAAGTGGAGGAATTCTGCTCGGAAGATTGCATGTCAAAGTTCACAGTTTTGTTTTATCAAGTAAGTTATCCTGGCACTCTTCAAATCTATCTTCTATCGATCCTTCCTCTTGGAAAAAACAGTGCTTCAGCACGACAGAGTATCTTTTATCACCAGTGAATTAATTAGGATAGAAAGGACCGCATCCTTAAGCATTGTCGTTAAGCCTTAGAATGTATCTTTTTAAACAAAATTGTTTAAAACAGAAAACCATACAATGGAATCAAATTTATTAAAAGTTGTCTTTTATCTCTTCCCCTTTCTCTGTAGATGTCCAAATGTGATGGGTGCAAAAGGCAGGGAAAACTCAGCGAGTCCCTGAAGTGGCGGGGTGAAATCAAACATTTTTGCAACTTGCTTTGCATTTTGATGTTTTGCAACCAGCAGTGTGCATCAGATCCTCCACCACCACCGCCTCCTCCGCCTCCACCACCCCCTCCAAATAATGCAGGTAAAAGAAAGGTGTGGGCTGGCATTAGAACAGCTTCTGTAGAGCAGGCTCCAATACTGGAAGTTTTTAAGAAGAGATTGGACAACCATTTGTCCTAAATGGTATAGGGTCTTCTGCTTGAGCAGGAGGTTGGACTAGAAGACCTCCAAGGTCCTTTCCAACTCTGTTATTCCGTTATAATGAATCTGGTCCACATGGTGGCAGGGTATTAAATACCTATGAGCATACCCTGTGATTACTGAAGCTTCCAATGATATACATTATTTCATATTGGAACAGATTTGGTATGTTTTCTTGATAGTAACTATGATGAGGTATAGATATTCCAAAGGGTATAATGGTCTGATGGTATGTTTCAAAGGAATGGGGGAGGGGTGGAGTTCTTTGTTCCTCCTTTTACTCAATCATACTCTAGGGATGTCAAACTCTATTTCATTGAGGGCCGCATCAGGGTTGTGTTTGACCTCGGGGAGGGGGCATGATCAGGGTGGGCATGGCCAGCTCAACATTATATTGGGAGCCCCTGTGGTGGCCCGAGCACACTGCCAGCAAAAACGGGCTACCGAGCTCCGTTTTCAGCTGCGACAACCTCCTGCAACTCTCTGCCAGTGAAAACAGAGCTTGGGAAGGCAGCACATGGCCATCCCGAGCTCTGTTTTCGCTGGCAGAGGCACTGTGGACCACCAGACCTTTGCTGTTTCCAGGGCGGCCCCACGGACCAGATCTAATCACTCCCGATTTGGGCCCCAGGCCTTAAGTTTGACGCCCATGCTGTAGTCTAGGCCATGCTCGGGGGAATTGTGGGAATTGAAGTCCATGTGTTTTAAATTGTCGTGTCTGAGAAACACCACCCTACAGAATAGACAGCATATTTTCAATAGCATCCATTGCAATTATACTGTGTCACATTTTGCACTTGATTTTGATTCATTGACCAGCAAACTTCCCTAATGTTACCATGTACTCTAGGTGTGGTATTGACTCAAAAATCTTAATAAAATATTAAAATTAAGACGGACCTTGATGATGTGTGATGCTCAAGCCTATAGGGATTCAGCTGAGAGGATGGTAGCCACATCTGCCTGTTGCAGTAGCACCACATCTCTCAGATGTATGCCCAACGGATTGGATCTCAGATGCAATTCACACAAAGACAGACATCACTAATTTGAAAGAATGCCATAGATCTATCTTCCCCTTGCCTATGCACACACCCAGATAGAAGGTTCCACCACAAAACCGCGTTCGACTAAAGGGCGCTCGACGAAACCGCGTAGCTGACGTCATCACAGTGCGACAACAGCGCGGAGAAAAAAGCACACTGTAAACGCTAAACCTAAAATTAGCACCTAAACCTAACCCCCCTAAACCTAACCCCTAACCTAACGCTAAACCTAATCCTAACCCTTAACCTAACCCTAAACCTAACCCTTAACCTAACGCTAAACCTAATCCTAACCCTTAATCTAACCCTAAACCTAACCCTTAACCTAACGCTAAACCTAATCCTAACCCTTAACCTAACCCTAAACCTAACCCTTAACCTAACGCTAAACCTAATCCTAACCCTTAAC